GGCATGTGGTGCTGGGGGATTGAACCGTGGTCCCTGTGTTTTCCCAAGCTTGTTCCAAGTAGGTGCTTTAGACCACTGAGCCATCTCGCCAGCCCCCCAGGTTAAATTATGATCACCTTTTTAGGTTTGTATTTATGAGAGACTAGTCAGAACTTTAGTAGGTCAATTAGTAGAGATCTCTTATAAGAAACGTTTGGGGGGCTGGGGAGATGGCTCAGTGGAATAAGTGCTTCCTTGGCAAGCACAAGGGTCTGAGTTCAATCCCTAGTTCCGCCAAAAAAAAAAAAAAAAAAAAGAAACGTTTGGAAAAAGGTAAAAAAACCTTTTATTTATGGTTAATATATAAGTTTAGGTCTGATGTAGTGCATCAGGTTTGAGTGGGAGCAAGCAGGCTGAGCAGGGTGTGAGGACTCGGGCCAGCACGACAGAGCAGCACCGACAACGTACGCGTCCCGGACTTGCCGGCTGGCAGGCAGAAGAGCTGCGCTGCTCATTGTGGCTGTGTACACTGTCTGTAGAAGTGGCTGAGGGGCCACCTCTCCAGGGAGTGATGGGAGAGGGAGGCTTCTATTATGTTTTTTTTGTTTTGTTTTGTTTTGTTTTGTTTTGTTTTGTTTTGTTTTTTGGCAAAACTGGGGATTGAACTCAGACCCTTGCGCTTGCCAGGGAAGCGCTTATTCTACTGCGCCATCTCCCCAGCCCACTATTATGTGATTTTGAGACATCTTGCTGTTGCCCTGGCAGGCCTCCACCCTAGGGTCCTCCTGCCTCAGCCTCCCAGAGCCCTGGAGACTCCCACTCTATAGACGCAGAACCTGAGGCTCAGAGTCACAGAGCCCCATCCCGGAGAGTCCAGGCCCTGGTCCCTAGAGTCCTAACTCCACTGCCACCTACTGCTTCCCTCCTGCCCACAGACCCCAGCCCAGGCTTCGCTGCCTTCACGTTGCTGGAGGTGAGGACGGGAAGCTGGTGGCTGTGTCTACGGCCTTTCCTCACAGCGGGGTTCGGGTTTTAGATCAATTACTATGCAGACACCATCTATGTGTCGGCTGGCGTGGACCCCATGCAGTCCCAGTACGTGACCGTGGGGGCCGGCGTAGTCAACATAGTGATGACCATCATCTCGGTGAGTGACCAGGATGCGACCTCCGGAGGGAACAGGGGCCAGGGTCAGGGTCGCCCACACCCACGGCATGGCTTAGACCATGCAGCCCGGCATACCTTCAAATACAGTCCATGCGTGAGGCATCCTAATGGTGATCCTGGGTGACCCGGATGACACAGGTGCTATTTCAGAGCTTAGTTTTTTACACCCGGTTCCCTGTGCCCGATTTCTTTTCTCCTTCCTTCCTTCCTTCCTTCCTTCCTTCCTTCCTTCCTTCCTTCCTTCCTTCCTTTTTTCCTTCCACCCTCCTTATTTCCTCCTTCCTTTGTCCCCATCCTACACAGAAGTCAGGTCCTCTTGTCCTCTCTGCTGGCCCCAGGCACCATCCCTCCCACTCCACGGCTGTGATTGTGGGCGGGGTCCTGGCAGGGAGGGGTGGGACCCCGACAGGGGTGGGCGCGGTCCTGAGCGGGTGGGGAGGGGCCCGACTGGAGGTGAGCGGGGCTGGTAGGACCTGTGGCTGCAGGACCCGCACTGGGGAAGCTGAGACAGATTCGAGCGGGGGCGGCAGGAGCGTGGGTCCCGAGGCAGGTGCACAGCCCCAGGGACCCAGAGCTGCCTGGTGCTCACGGCCGCGTCCCCTGCAGGCGTTCGCCGTGGAGCGGCTGGGCCGGCGCCTCCTCCTGCTGCTGGGCTATGGCATCTGTGGTAGTGCTTGTCTGGTGCTGACCCTGGCACTGCTCTTCCAGGTCTCGCTGCACCCCCTGCCCGCGGGTGGGAAAGGGAGCCGGGGTCCCCATGGAGCCCTCACCTGGGAGCCAGTGATGTCACTGACACCCATGTGCCAGCTGGCTCGACGGGACCCCTAACCTAACGCTGGGCTGGTGGTGCACGCCTGTTGGCCCAGCACTCGGGAGGTTGAGGCAGGAGATTCACCTTGAGTTCGAGGCCCAGGAGTCCTAGAAGGTGCTCTATGGATCCTGGGGAGTGAGTCTGCTGGGGCTGAGGGACTGAGGTCCTCGTGGTCTGGGTCAGGCTCTATGGTTCCGAGACCACCTTCACAGGACCTAGGCCGTAACGGGCTTGCTCAGCCAGGTGACAGGAAGAGGAAACGCAAGAAGGTCGCGAGGTGCAGAGGCAGCGTCTAGCTGCTAGCTGCCCATAAACCAGGGCAGGCACCCCGTTCACTGTCATTCTGACCGGGAAAGGGTTGCAGCAGCCACCAGCACACCCCTGTCCTGGTCCTCCTCCTCCTCCTCCTTCTCCTGCCCACAGAGTCCCAAAGGCCCCACAAAGCTCAGGCCTCCAAGCTCAGCACCTCCCATATCCATATCCGGAGCTAGGGATGGCAGTGGGGTCTGAGCTCCGCCTGTCTCCACAGAGCAGGGTCCCTGAGCTCTCCTACCTGGGCATTATCTGCGTCCTGGCATACATCGCGGGACATTCCATCGGGCCAAGTGAGTTCTGCGCCCTGTCAGCCCACAGGGTCCAAGAGACGCTGAGGGCATAGCTGTTAGGGTTCACAATGTCCATGACACTGCCCAGGCCCACACTCCGAACGGTTGTCCTCTAGTCTTATCCAGAGTCACCCGTTCTCAGAGGCCGAGTTAGTGTGCCCTGCCAGCCATCCGGGGTCATATTTATTCATTCAACAAATAGTTCTCAGCTTAGGCCAGCACTTCACTGATCTGTGGCCCCAGTGGGGCCCAGACCCAGGCCCAGGGTCCCCAACAAGGAGAGGAGCCCTGAGACTCTCATGCACACCCTGCCAAAGCTCTCTGTGGCCTCAAGCCCACCCAGGGCTCAAGGTCTCACTCCCCCGATCTGGGCCAACGTCCCTGGCCACCCACATCCTGGTACTGACTGCCTCAGCCCCACTTGGGCCAAGCCCTCAGGCAGCCACAGAGGCTGAGGGCTCCCTCCCTGGAGTGCTCCTGAGAAAGGAACCTGATCCTCCTGGTTGGAAATGCACCCCAGTCCCCACAGCCCAGCCACATCTGAGGAGAGGCAGGGGTGTGGGGCCCTCAGGGTGCCCTGTGGGGGGCCATGCCACCCAGACCTGGTCCCCTGCATTTCCACCCTCCCTTGCCCGTGTGTGCCCTTAAGCCTCCTGCATTGCCCGGCTGGGCTGCTCCTGGGCTGTGGAAACCAGGGGGCAGGAGGTCAGCCAGGTTGTCGGGAGACTACTTTCCCCCATGTGCCCTCTTTCTGGGGTGGGGACCTCCATGCTGGGCCACAGGGTCTGCGCTGAGGCCCCAGGAGTAGCTCTGTTCTGGGGTGCTGAGTCCCCTTCAGGTTGGCCCCCAACACTGCAGTTGTCACTCCAGCCATCTCATTCCCACCTGAGCTAGAAAGGGGGTAAAAAATCTGTTCTTTGAATGCACAAACCCCAGGCCTATGTACAAGAGAAAACCAGTTATACAGGGATGAGCAAAATATACACTGAATGTTCAAAGTTTTTAAAAATGTATTACATGAAAGGACACATGACCACGAACACGCTTCCAAACACTCCCCCAGCTTTGAACACGCTCACCGGCATTCTTCCGCTGTCTGCAGCAGCTCTGGAGTCCTCTCCTGAACATCCTGGCTGCCTCTAGGTCCTGAACTGATTCAAAGTGTTTCCCCTTCAGGGTCATTTTGATTTGGGGGAGGAGCCAGAAGTCACAGTTCTAGATCTGGCAAACGAGGTGGGTGGGGACACAGTGTCACATTTTTCTGAGCTGCCTGTCTGTTGGATGGCACTCCCCGGTGGCGCTGATCACATTTTTTAACCACATCTCATAAAGACACTCACAAAAGAGCACTCCCAGAGCTGCTTCAGGAAGTAGCAGGAATGATGGGATGAGTGTATTCAATGCAAGCGGGAATTTTGAAGGGACTTCATGGCTGTGTCTGTTACTGTGATAAAGTCTATTTAAACGTTCCTCTTATTTTAGGTCACTTCCTGTATGGCAGATCTAGGGTGTTAAATTTTCATGGGAGAGCTGAGGATGGAAAATGATGGCTTTGTGTGTCAGGGCCGCTTGCGCAGTGGGCCGTGTCCCAAGCCACCCCCGGGGGTCCTGTGCCCTCCAGGTCCCGTACCCTCAGTGGTGAGGACCGAGCTCTTCCTGCAGTCCTGGCGACCAGCTGCCTTCATGGTGGATGGGTTTGTGCACTGGCTCACCAACTTCGTCGTGGGCTTGGTGTTCCCGTCTGTCCAGGTGAGGTGCCCTTCCTCATGCTTGTGTGACGCTGCCCTGCCCAGGGGCTGAGTGACAGGTCCACCTCCCAGCAGAACAACTGCCCATCAGTCATGCTCCTGTGAAACACCGCTGCCTCTACTTTTTATTCTGTCTTTGGAACAGAGTCTCCCTATGCAGTTCAGGCTGGCCTTGAGCTTACTATGTAGCTCATGCTGGCCTTGAACTCACAGCAGTCCTCCTGCCTCAGCCTCAGCGTGCTGGCATCTCAGGGGTGCACCACCACACACAGCTGTGACCCCTCTCTTGTGATGAGCCTGTCCCCCCACCAACAGGCACCTCTGCACTGGTGATGGCCTCGCGACTACAAATGGCTGTGGGCTGTGAAGCCCAAGGCAGCAGACGCCAGGCTGGGCCAGCAAGCTCATGTCCCTGTCCCTGTCCCTCCTTCTCTCCTTCTGAGCCAAGCATCTGGCCCTGGTCTCCAACGCAGGAAGGAGGCCCGGGAAAGTCAGGGCTGTGCTCTGGTGTCACTAGGGCCCGGTTTCCCACGGGCTGGCCCTGCCGCGTGCCCTCCAGGCTGGCCTGGGTCCCTACTGTTTCATCACGTTCATGGCGCTCTGCGCGCTCACCGCCGCCTACACCTGCGTGGTCATCCCCGAGACCAAGGGCAAGACCTTCGTGGAGATCAACCGCATTTTTGCAAAGAGGAACGGAGTGGAGATTCCCGAGGAGATTGAGAAAGTCGCTGGTGTGAGCCTTCACCTGCCCACCACGCCCACCAAGGAGACTGCCCTCTAGTGTCAGGTGTGTCACCCACAGACCAGTTCTGGGAGGCCTTCCCTGAGAAAGGGACCCCCAGCTCCAGGCTCCCAGGAAAGGTGACAGCAGTGAGCCCTTTGTGTTCCAGGAACACAGTTTCGGGGAGGGACAGGAGGTGGCTGTCCCTTCCAGACACATGCGTTGATAAGAATCAACACCTTGACAGGTATGCTGGTGCATGTCTATAATCCCAGCTACTTGGGAGGCTGAGGCAGGAGGGTCACCAGTTTGAGGCCAACTTGGGTAACTTAGAAAGACCCTGTCTCAACGTAGAATAAAAAGGAGTAAAGATATAGCTCTATATGAAGGCCCTGGGTTCAATTCCTAAGAACCAACAAAAACAGAAATACCTTGATTGTAGATTGGTACCAAAACTTAAAGATGTATGCACACATTCTTTCAAAGTAAAACGCGAAGTTCAGTATATTCGTCAACTTTATGTTACACGTTACAAAACACCCCAGGGACTCACTCACAAAGGCAAAGGTTGGTTTGGCTGCATAGTCCTAGGGTTCTGATCTACAATCAAGTGACCAATGTCTTTGAGCTTCTGACAGAGGCTGCACCTGACAGTCCCAGAAGCAGAGACAGACTCAGAGCCTGGGTTCCACTGTCCCTTCCAGGGCATTCCCAATAACCTAAGAACCCCCAAACACCTGTTCCAGTGATTTTTGGAGACCACGCCCCCTGACATCACTGCCCTCTCAGTGGCTCTTTGGAGACCACGCCCTTTGACATCATTTTCCCATCAGGCCTTGCCCCTTAAAGACTCCACCCTCCGCTAGAGTCAGCAGCAGACTGAGGCCTTGGACATGTGGGCTTTGGGGGACCTCAGGTCCAGCATCACACTAAGGGTCTGGGAGCGCGCAGCCTTCCCAGACAAAGGTCCCTCCTGGACACATGCCCCACTCCAGGCCTGGCCACCAGATGTCCCTAAGGACCCTGCGGAAAGTGACCTGGTGGCCTTGGGGTTCTCCTGGGCCTGGGGAAAGCTGCCACCTGGCTCACAGGCCCCCCAGGATGGCATGGGCAGGTTGGGGGTATCATGTTTAGTTGCATGGCAATCTCTTGGCCCCATAAATGAAATGCACAAGCTCTTGAACATAGGAAATACCAGTGCCCACCTGGGAGGAGAGCTCTCCGCGGGCTTCTGGATGGGCTGGGAAACTGAATTTCCATTTTTATTGTTTGTTTTGCTGGGATTTTTATGGTACTGGGGATCAAACCGAGGAAGACTCTACCACTGAGCTGCACCTCTAGCCGATTTTGGTTTTTAATTCAGTTCCAGGAATTGGACCAAAGTCTTCACACTGAAATACATCTCCAGTCCTTTTTGATTTTAATTTTTAGTCTGAGACATAGTCTTAGGGGCTGGAGATATAGCTCAGTGGTACAACATTTGCCTAGCATGCACAAGGCCCTGAGTTCAATCCCCAGTACAACCAAAAATAAGGAAGAAAGAAAAAAAGAAGAAACATGGCTGAGACATAGACCCCCTAAGTCACTGTTGCCCATTCTGGACTGTGGTGGTTGATGCACACTGTGTCAGTTTGAGGGGCCAGAAGCTTGCCTGGAGCGGCCAGGCTAGGGCATGGAGGGGCCGCCCTAGACTGACTCAGCGCTTGAAGGGTTGAGGAGGGCTTGTGCGCCCCCTTCCTCGGAGCTCCGCACCACTCTGCAGCCATGCTACTTCCTCCTTCCTCCAGGACCTTGAGCTTCAGAGCTGCGCCACTTTCTTGCAGGAGTTTGTTGGACGCAGCCACGCCACTTCAGAGGAGCTTGGAACTTCGGAGGAGCTCGGATCTTCGGATTTTCGCAGCAGCAGCCGCCGCCGCCACTTCCTTGGCGGAGCTCAGGCGTTTGCAGTTAAGAGAGAGGCTTGATGGTGGGCGCAGCTGCAGCTCCTGCTCTGCTCTTCGCTGTTTTCTGCTGCCATGAACTGCCGCCGTCCGCCTTGGAGCCCGTGGAGTATGGACTGAACCCTCGCTGAACTAAATAAACCTTTCCTTCCTTACATTTGTGCGTTGGGTATTTTGTCCCAGCAATAAGTAAAAAGTAACTGAGACGTGGACTCAAACTTGCAATCCTCCTGCCTCAGCCTCCCAGAGTGCCTGGATTACAAGTGTGTTGCACCACACCAGGCCCCCCCTAGCCCTTTAAAACAATGTTTAATTTTGAGCCAGGGTCTTGCTAGGTGCCTAGACAGGCCATAAACATCCGACCCTCCTGCCTCAACTTCTGTAGTAGCTGAGTTGCAGGCCGGTTCCATTGCACTCAGCTAAGAAATGGAATTTTTGTTTAAAAAAACATTCCCACAAAAGAAGAAAACTGGGGGCTGGAGAGATGGCTCAGTGGCCTAAAGCACCTACTTAGAACAAGCTTAGCAAAGCACAGGGACCGCAGTTCAATCCCCCAGCACCACATGCCAGCCAGCCCCGCCCCCTGGTGGGCTGAGCTGGCCACACACACACACACACACACACACACACACATAAATAAATAAAGTTAAAAAAAAAAAAAGAAGAAGAAGAAAACTCCAGGCTAAAATGACTTCAGTCATGAATGAGTTCTCCTAAACCACCCTGCCAAGCACAGAGGCCGGGTGAACCGCCCTGGCTGCTCCTGCCCCCCGGGAGGAGGACCCTTCTCGCCTCCACTTCTTTGTCAATTCTGGAACTTGAGTGTTGGGGAAAACCTGAAGGCAAACTTGGCACCACCCCATTATGCACAGGAGCCTGCGCCCGGGGTGGGGTGCAGCCAGCTGTGTCTACTTGGCACCCCGCACCCTGGGGCCTCCGCACTGTCTAGATGAAGAGCTTCTGAGGTTGGGTCTGGGACAGGCTGTGTGCTGGCAGGAGCGCGGCAGCCTGCAGTGCGCATGAGGCCCAGAGCACCGTGGCCCGGGGCACCCCAGCGCGCTCTGCGGATGTGCCCAGGGTTTCCCAGCACTCACCCCCGGGTGTCTCTTCCAGGGACCCCCTCCCTGTTCTGAATGAGAGCCCCCAGCTTGGCTGACACTCTCTGCCTCTGTAAGACCTCTCTAAAACCCAGAGACCCTATGCTGCCTCCAGCTGTATCCCAGGGTCCCCGCCATGCCTTCAGTGAACAGGCAACTTGAATGCTTAAATGCTCCAGTGGACAGGCAACTCACCCCTGTCATGCCTGAACCTCACAGCATGGACTCTGCCTGTCTGCTTGGGCTCCAGCTCTGCGCTGAAGCACATTACTTGCGTTGAGGCCTCATCGTCCAATCTCAAGAGTGGGGTTTGAATAGTATTTACCTGCAGGGTTAGGAGGACAGAGGGTTTGGGTGGGCCTGATTGGGGCCCAGATTTTGTACTTTTTTTTTTTTCAGTACTAGGAATTGATCTCTGGTGATGATATTAAGCCCCAGCCCCAGCCCATTTTTATATTTTTATTTTGAAACAAGGTCTCCCTAAACTGAGAGAGTCTCATTAAACTGCCCAGGCTGGACTCCAACTTGGCATCCTCCTGCCTTAGCCTCCCAGAGTCCTGGAATAATAGGAACAGTTGTGAAAGACCTTTGAAATTCAAGCATCAGCTGCTGCCCAGGACAGCCCCCACTGCTCCCTAGCACTGTCCAAGGACCTGCATTTGTCCTTGACATGTGCAGATCTTTCCACAGAACATTATAGGTCTCTGGACCTCAGTCTACCAACCTGAAAAATGGGACCGAAGAGAAGCCCTCCCAGGTCCTCATGGAGCAGGCCCTGCAGTCATCACCATGGCCACCAGAGGGCAGCACGTTCCCAGCAGAAGAGAAAGCAAGGCTGGTTGCTTGGTTCTGCAGTAATTTAATGTAAAAAGTGGGCATTAAACCAGGTGCAGTGGTGGAGGTCATTAAGCCCAGCACTCTGGGAGGCTGAGACAAGAGGGTTGCAAGTCTGAGTCCCACCTGGACAACTTGGTGAGGCCCAGACTCAAAATAAAAAATAAAAAGGGCCAGGACGTAGCTCTGTGGAAAGAACCTGGGTTCAACCCAGTACAGAAACAAAAACACAATAGCTACACCACAAAACTACTATCTTTTTTTTTTTTTTTCAGTACCGGGGATTGAACTCAGGATCCTGCACTTACCAGGTAAGCGCTTAGTCTACTGACCTATCTTCCTAGCCCCTATTATCAGTAAAGACCTTTCCACTTTCTCTTGAGTTGGTCTATGTTTTGCTTTTAGGTTTCAAGTGAGAATCAGCCAAGTTCCTTCTCTGTGTGGTTCGTAGGAGTGAAATTTGAAATCAGAATCTTACGGCAGTTACAAAATTAAACCAGGATATGCACGACTTACATAAAGTTACAGAAATGACAGCAACTTTGGCAAACTTTCATTCTCTTCCTGTCAATGAAATACAGAATAAATGTAACTGCCTGAAAAAGCAAGTGACATGTTGAAATGCTGGAAAATTCTAGATTTTTTTTTAAACTGGAGATTGAATTCAAGACCTTGCCAGACAGATGCTCATAGTGCTGAGCTGTATCCCCACTTCGCCCCCCCTTTTTTGAGACAAGGTCTTGCTGTGCAGCCCAGACTGGCCTCAGACTCACATTGATCCTCCTGCCTCAGCCTCCCGAGAGCTGGGATTACAGGCGTCGTCACCACACTCCGTCCTTTCCTCTTTCTTAGTAGTGTTGGACCGGAACCCAGGGCGGCCTGCATGCTAGGCAGGGGCTCCCCACGGAGCCCATCCAACCCCTTTGAGAAAACTTCAAAATCAGAACTCTTTGATCTCACATGTTTTGTAGGGAGCCCCCACTTGCTCTCCTAGCTCCCCGGTTATTAAGGGCCGTGCCCCACCCCCACCCGCAGTGTCTGCTGAGACAGCCAGGGTCCCCTTGAGCTCACTGTCCACCTCTGGAGCAAGAAGGGAGGTGAGGTAGTGGCCTGGCGGTGCAGAAAGGCAAGGCGAGAAGCAGAGGCCCACACGCTCCTCCTAGCGCAAGAGGACCGTGTGCACAGGGCCTGCGGCCAGGCTGCGTGAGGTCCAGCCGCAGAATGCCACAAAGCGACAGGGAGAGGGGGATGCTCCCGTGCAGAGAGCAGCCAGGGCCGCGGGGCAGCCCAAGGATAGGGCTTTGGATTTACTCCCTGCGACACGAGGGCTGGAAGCAGGCGAAGGGCATGATTCAGTTCGTGTCTTGAGGGAATAAACAGTAATAAAGAATAATGACACCCTTGAACCCACCTGTGTCTGTCTGTAACGGCAAGAAGTCGCTGCAGACACAGCAAGGTCCCGAGCTTCCTCCTCTTGTCTCTCTTCTTTTTCTGTTTGCTTTATTTGAAACAGGGTCCACTATGTGGCCCAACCTGACCTCAGACTTGCTGCGATCCTCCTGCCTCGGCCTCCCGAGTGCTGAGATTACAGGCATGCCCCACCACCCCCGGCTTCCAGGATGTGTTGGCTATTCCTGCTCCTCCTTTTTCTCCTGTAAATCCTCAGTTCATCCCCTTCTCTGAGCCTTCTCTCTGGTCCTTCATCCTCTTCCTGTAGATTTCTTTGTCTAGCCCAGAAGCTAATTTATTCACTCAGCACGTTTGCATTGAGCATCGCTGGGACCAGATATTCACAAGTACTTCTGTTCCTAGGTTTGCTGTGAAAAGGGAGGAGACAAAGCTCCTGTCCCCAAGGTCTGTGGGGAATGACACATCCCTCCTCAGCCCAAGTTGTCCAGGGTCTGTGACGTGAGCTGGCGTGGGATTCGGGAGGGTTACACACCTCAAGGGTGTCTGGTGGCATTGACCAACACTGTGCCCCTCCACCTCACCTTGCATGAATGTCGGAGACCCACGGCAGCACAGGCCTGGCGCCCTTGGGCCTGGAGTCTGCAAACCGACTTCTCCTGAGCTGACCGCTGGGCTCAGCTCAGAGTATGGCCTGGCCTCCTCCTGATGGCCAAGGGCAGCCGCAGAGGACACGGTCGCCCAGACCCCATGCTGGCAGTGGCCTCATTTGAAAGAGGCTCTTCTGATATCACCAAGGCAGTGATTGGTCTGTCCCTGGTTCTGGCTTCCAGGGGACAGAGAGCCAACACTGAGGCCTCAGACAAGATTGGACAGGAAGGACAGGACATATGCTCGGTGGCTTGCTTCGTCCCCCTGTACTAACATGGTAATAAGAGCTTCCCAGCAGCCTCCATGCCAAGCTCACTACCTTGGCATCAGCTGCTGTCCCAAGCTGTGCTTCTCTTTTATTGAGACAGGATCTTGCTATGCACCCAAGTCCGGCCTTGAACTCAAGGCATGTGATGGTCCTGCCTCAGCCTCCCCGGTTCTGGGCTCACAGGCATGCACCAGTATACCAGCCCTCCTGATCTTGTGTTTTGGGGTGGATCCGTCATCCGCGAGTCCTCTCAAGATAGCCCCAGTGTCTTTTGACATAATTGCTGGAGTCCTGGATGATTCGCTGCCCTCTGGCCTACAGGGTTATAGAGGAACTGCCCTCCTCTTTCGTATTCTTAGCCCTGGAAACCCTCCCTCTTTCATCTCCACCTTTGTAGGGGGCAGGCAGTGTCTGAATCGGTACAAAGAAACAGAAACAAGAAATTTTAAAACAAATTTCCAAAATCATTTTATTACATCTAAATGCCAAAGGAAATTCAGGCTGATTTTTTTTTTCTTTTCTGTTTTTCAAGTGAAGGTGCCTTAATAATTTAGGGATATAATTTATGTACAGCGTGATACATTCATTAAAGAGACACTGTCGCATGCAGGTGAACAAGTAGGTGTCATGTGCAGCGTGGCCACCACGCAGATGCAGACCACTTCTGTCCCCGCCAGAGTGTCCCTGGGCCCTTCGGATCTGCGAGCAGGCAGGTGTCTCTGCATTTCATCTGCGTGCTGATTTATTATTCTGCCAAGTGAGTGGTGATTTTTTTGCGGTGCCCAGGACAGAACGCACGGCCTTGCGCTGCTGCGCAGCCAGGAACCCAAGCCACACCCCGGCGCCCGCAGCCACAGCGGGAGAACGTGCCACTTCTCTACCAATCAATTCCCACTGGCAACATCGGCCTCGAGTCCCTTCTTGTCCTGGTGATGGCTTCCTGCTCTAATCATAAATCCTGCCGGTACCAAATCGTCCTCTCCCGTGCAAGTCTGTGGTGCCAGCCGGTTAGTAGAGCTTCTTAGCTTTGTTGTGCTGCAGAGCCCTAGCCAAGTACTGCATGTTGTTCTCCATCCTGCTCAGGAAATACTTGAACTCAGAGCCTAGAACACAGTGGATAAAATAATCATTAGTTTCACAAGACTGAAACTTGGAAGGCCCATCAGGCATGGTGGTGCACACCTGTCATCCCAGCACTCGGGAGGCTGAGGCAGGAGGATTGCTGCAAGTTTGAGGCCAGTCTGGGCTACACCGTGAGACTCTATGTTAAAACAAAACAACAACAACAAAAGAAGTGGTCTCGGCAAGGAGCACCACACAGGCACCAAGCCAGGGGCAACATGAACCCTTCCGTCCAGCCTGGGGACTGAGTCCCTCACATGAGTGAAGTAGGGGGACCCTTGGCAGGAAAAGTTTGCACATTGTGTGGCATGTGGGACCCCGTATAGTTGGTTGATGCCTGTTACAAGAATACTAAAAATTTTTCTAAAAATTTTAGAGAATAAATATATAAATAATAAAAATTTTAGAGAAATCTATAACCAGGAAACAGGTCCACGGGTCTACACTTCCTCTGAGTAGCCAAGAGGAAGCAATCCTGCGTAGGACGCCACCTCCCTTTGTGGAAGGAGGAGTCTCACTTAGCAAGACCCTGTCCTCGAGATTGTTTGTTGTTTTTTTTGGGGGGGGGCGGAACCTTTTTTTTGGGGGGGGGCGGAACCGGGGATTGAACTCAGATCCTTGCGTTTGCCAGTCAAGCGCTTATCCTACTGAGCCATCTCCCAGGCCCCCTTGAGTTTTTTTTAATTATTTTCTCAGGCAGGGTCTCGCTATGTAGTTCAGGCTGACGGTGAGCTCACTATGTAGCCCAGGTTGGCCTTAAACTCTCCTTGATCCTCCTGCCTCAGCCTCCTGACTGCAGAGTCACAGGGATGTGCCCCCACACCCAGCAATATTTGCATTCTTGCCACCATGATGAGGTCAGCCAAGAACCCAGCTGGACCCTGACCTAAGAGACCAGTGGGGTCAGCAGAGGCCTGGCAGCACCCGCCACCCCCAGCATCCTGGTGCCGGAGCCTGACCCCCAAGCAAGTCCAGGGAATGGTCTACAGTCTCACAGATCTGATAGCAGTGGGGCAGACTCATGGAGGACAACAGGGCGCCTGTGGGAGACCTCCGGGGTCCAGCCCAGGGCCCTCAATATGAACGCCACTCATCTGCCACCTACCCCCACTTCAGCCAAGACCAAGAGGTGACAGCGCCATCATCCCCTGTCTTCTCTGCCTAGACTGGCACCCCCTCCCCCTGCCCAGGCCCTGTCCTGCATCTCAGCTCCTGTCCTCTGTGGCCACCAGGAACAGCAGGGGCACACAGTCACAGGCCTGTGCACTCACGGAAGCTAGGGAAGTGGCGGAAGTTGGCCTCCACCACCCTGCCGTTCAGTGGCTGGGTCGGGCGGTAGCCGTTGTGCAATGTCCTGTTGTGATTCGTCAGCAGGGAGTTCTCGATCTTCCAGACCTGCAGGTGACAGAAAGGGAATCCTTGCCAAGAGCTCAGTCAGTACCTGGGCCAGGGCTTGTAAGAGCCCAAGTCCAGGAAAGGTTCTAGGTGCCCTGTGCCAGGCATGCCGAAGTGTCATCCAAAAACATGGTGAATGTTAGCCAGGTGTGGTAGCACACACCTGTAATCCCAGCACTCGGAGGCTGAGGCAGGAGGATTGCCATCGGTGGAGGCCAGCTAGGCTAGTGAGCCTTTGTCTCAAAAAGCCAATCAATCAACCAATCAATCAACAAACAACACATTGTGATCATTCTCTCTCAAATCTCCCCCTCTCTTTGAACACACTAATCCCACCTTTCTTGCACTTTCCAAAGCAGTTCTGGAGGTGTTCCCTCATGAGTGTCTTTTTGTGGCTGTCTCCTGTCCTGAATCCATTTAAAATGCTTATGGAAATTTCTGCCAGATAAAACATGACGGTGTATCCTCATCCACCTCCACACCGGATCTGCCACTCTGCAACAGCTGGCTGTTCCCCAAAGTTAAATTGACCGTGAAAGGTGAATGCTTTGAATCAATCCAGGACATAGAGGCAGCCACAGAGCACAACTTAAGACACTGGGGAAGGAGGACTCCAGAGCTGCTGCAGAAAGTAGCAAGAAAGATGGGACAAGTGTGTTTGAAGGGAGGGAGAAGACTTTGGGGGGAATTCATGGCAATGTGTCTTTTACTGTAATGCCGTTCTTTGTCTTTCTTTTTTTTTTTTGTGGCCAGCTCAGCCCATCCTGGGGGGCGGGGCTGCCATGGCATGTGGTGCCAGGAATCGAACCTTGGGCCCTGCGCTTTGCCTAAGCTTGCCTAAGCAGGCACTTTAGACCACTGAGCTATCTCACCAGCCCTATAATGCAGTTGTTTTTGGTTTTGGTTTTGGTTTTTTGTGGTACCAGGAATCAAATTCAGGACTTTGTGCGGCAAGCGCTTATTCCACTGAGCTACCTCCCTGGCCCCCTTACAGGTCTTGAAATTTAAACATTCAGTTTATTTTTGAGCATGCCTCCTATTGCAGAATTGATCTATTTATTCATTCTTCCAACATGCACTCTCTGAATGTTTTCTATGAGTGTTTTGTTAATAGAACAGAGAGAAAGAAGTAAACAGAAATATCTCAATGGCGTGCGTGCTTCCAGTTTTGCTGAATCCGCCTGCAGGCTTGGCACGCTCCCTGCCAAGGCGCTCTGGCTTTGAGTCCAACCAGAGGTGGCCTCAGTTTCCCTCTCTGGGAAGCAGGACCCAGTCCCTTCTGCCCTTCTGCATCTGGGTCAGACAGGTGCATGGGCGCATGGCCCTCTGTGCACCTGCTTGCTCACTTGGAGTTTCAAAGCTCTTTGACATTTAGTGGTTTCAGTGGGGTGTGTTTAGTGTAAAGTAGTTGGTGTGGTTTTGTTGTTGTTCTTGTTCTTATTGTTTGAGATAGGGTCTTGCTACATAACCCAGGCTGGGCTCAAATTCACTTTGATCCTCCTGCCTCAGCCTCCTAAGTGCTGGCATGACAGGATCGTGCCACTCTGCCCAGCATTCTATTTGGATTAAATTTGTAAAAAGTTCTTATGTACTAACATCGAACCTCCAGGATTGACCCTTGAACTGTATCCTGACTCTGCATAACTGGACCCAGACCCACTTCCTACCACGTGAGGGACATTCTCGATGTGCACGAGAAGATAACTGGCCTCTCTAACCACACAGCTGCAGAGTCTGTAGGTGCCTGGATCTACCAGACTATACGCTACAGCACCGGCAAGGACACCCACAGTCACACAGGTGGCTCAGTGGTCTTGCACGTGGCAGATGCCACTGAGCCCTGGATGCCAGCCTGAGGGAAGCTGGGAGCCCCCCCCCCCCGTTCCCCCGGCAGCCGTACCTGAGCCCTAGAGAGCTTGACAGAGTCATCCAGCACGAACCAGCGCACGTTCTCCGTGCAGGGCGGGGTGGTGAGGGAGCCCTGGTAGGTGTAGTAGTGGAAGTGGTCCTTGGGCAGCATGTCCAGGACGGCAAGGTCCCTGAGGTCTGTGCTTTGTCCTAAGAGGGAGGTCAGGAGGTAAAGGGACATGAAGGGTGGCACCTGGCTCGCTGCACTCGCCACTCTCAGAAGCAGCTCTGGAAGTGGACTTCTGCGAGAGGCTGCACAAGCGTGATCAAAAATGTGGTGAATACCACTCCCCAGAGCCTCTGAGCAGAAAGGTGGGCTGAAAAAATATCACATGTCCTCACCCACCTGATCCACAGGGCCTGGCAGCATGCCCCTGCCGGCTCTTTCCCAAAGTCAAAACAAGAATGAAAAATAAACATTTCAAATAGATGCAGGACACCAGGGCAGCCATGACAGGAACTAAAGACACGGAAATGGACTGCCAGGATGCTTCAGAAAGTGGCCAGAGCAATCAATACGCATGCGTGGGGAGCAAGGGAGGGTGCCAAGGGGATTGCTGGCGCCATCTTCTACTGCAACACACATCTTTTTATGTGTCACGGACATTTGGTGCTTGCAAACATTCCTCGGGGTCCCTGGTCAGCCTCATCCGACCCTCAGCAGCGGTCCATCCCCCGCTGCCCCTACATGTGCGCTCCGACCCAACCCTGGCATCCTACCTGGGTACTTGATGTTGGCCAGGTGGGAGATGAAGTTGCTGTAGTATGTGTTTTCTGAGTAGTCCTCGATCTGGAGGAGAAAGGCCAAGCCGTTAGCTTGAGCAGGAAGATGCAGCGGCGAGCCTTCCTAGCAACTGGGCAGAGAGGCACTTGCCGGGATAGGCTGTTAAGAGATTGGGCCTGCCAGAAGGGGCGGAGCCTGCCAGAAGGGGCGGGACCTGCCGGAAGGGAGCCTGTCTGAAGGGGCGGGGCCTGTCTGAAGGGGCGGGGCCTGCCGGAAGGGAGCCTGTCTGAAGGGGCGGGGCCTGCCGGAAGGGGCGGGGCCTGCCAGAAGGGGCAGAGCCTCTGGAAGAGGTGGGGCCTGCTGGGAGAGACAGGTCATAGGTGAGGCCGGGAAGGGTTTCTCTTCTCTGGGCTTCTCCCCTCGCTCTCTGCTTCCTGGGTGCCATGTGCTAAGCAGCTCTACTCTGCCAGACCCTTCCTGCTTTGAAGCTAGTAACTATGGAACATAGTTGGCTAGAAACCATGAGCCAAGAAGAGCCTCTCTTGGAGGAGGGCGTAGGTGGTGTCTGGGTTGTTGTTTATTTTGTTTGGGTTTTAATGTATTTGGTACAGGGTCTAAGGAGCTCGGACTCTAGTGATCCTCCTGTTTCAGCCTCCCCAGCACTCAGATTACAGGTATGTGCCATCACGCCCAGTCTCAGTGGCTGGCTCATGGCCCCCAGGGTGGGGGCCAGTGTGCCATGTGGTGCTAGGGATTGAACCCGGTCGCTGCATTTACCTAGGCAGGTGCTTAGTCCACTGAGCTATCTCACTGGCCCTGGGTATCTGGTATTTTGTTCCAGCCATGAAAAAGGGACTGAGCCACTGCTGAAAACTGCCCATGACACCTGCCTTAGGACAAGGAGCCAGGGCTCAGGCTTTGTCATCCTCAGGACTTGGGACACAGGTTCCAGATGGAACTGCCCCAGGGGCTCCCTGCCAGGACTCTCCTCTTGAGTGCATGTGGGCCTCTGGGAAGAACAGCTGCCCTGGGGGGCAGGGACAGGGTCCCTCCCGCCAGCGGGTCCGCTGGACTGCTTCCTGCTGCACACCTCTGGGCCGCCTTGGGGGCTGGCTTCACTTGTGCCCTTTGCTTCTCTGTTGCGTGTTCACTGCCATCCTTCAGGTGAGATAGTCTCAGAGCAGCCTTTGCCCAGCGTCTTGTTTCCAGGAAGGCCGCTGTTAAACTCCCAGCTGCCGCTCACCACTCCCCGTGTGTGGATCATTAACTATGGTCAACTTGACACAGCGGCTGAATGGGGCCTGGCAGAGTGTGGGGGTCACCTGAGGACTGCTGCCCACAGAGTGAAAGGAGGTCTGGAGGGGGAGATGGTATGCTATTGGTTCTCCTGGAGAAGGCTGTCATGCTGGTCTTCCTGATACGAACTCAGGAGGAGCTGCAGTCCTTGCTGCCGCCGAGGATGGCTGCAGTCCTCTTTGGCAAACTCTGCTCCTCACCTTGAGCGTCGCTTCCTGGCTCCCGTGCAGACCCCTCAGCCTGCTGGCACGGATCCTCCATCCCGCTGGCGCAGACTTCCTAGCTTCTACCACTGACCTTCGGGCCTTCACGGTGCAGGTCCTTAATACAGACTTGCCTGAGATGTTGTCGCGGGCCCTAGGCCTCCAGCGGGACTGGTGCAGGACACTGCCGTGGGGTCCAGGCCCTCAGCTGGGCTCTTTGGGTCTCTAGTGCATGGACAGATCTCTTGCACTCTTCTGTTTTGACTTTTGGGGTGAATATTATAAAATAATCCTTGAATTCTGTGTCCTATATTAAATCTGTTCCCTTTCACACCCTGACTACATCACCATGACCAGGCCTGGAGCTAAAGCTCGCCCTGTCACTCTGTGGTCTCTCCTGCCTTTGCGGGCAGTGTGGCCACCCCAGGGTCGGCACCTGGGTCTGATAACCACCTGATGACCACACTCTGGGCGTGGACGAAACAGCCAGGTAAAAAGCCCACAGACACTCACGTTCTCACTTAAACTATAACCATTTTCATGAGTAAATGCCTTAATTTGTTGTTTGCCTTGGCCCATTTCCAGAGCACTAAAGCGATTGGGGTTTTTGCTCTTGTTTTATTTTTTGTGGTGTTATAGGAAAATAATTTATAATTTTACCCACTTTAATACTTACCTTTTGGCAACTCAGTTGCCAACCACATGTAGCCACTCAGCCCTAATCACACCCTCTGGATCCCAGAGAAACAGAGCTGCTTTCTTTGGCTGGCTCAGGGTTGCCTGGTGTGCCACGTGTCTGTGTCAGGTGGAGCCTGTGGGTCCAGGCCTCTTACTGCAGCCCAGAATGGGGGAGCAGGGCCTGGAGAGGGGTCGATTCCCCATTCAGTCAGCTTCCCAAGGGAAGGACAAGGAGAGACACAGGAAGACCATGGTCTGCACCCGACACTATGCCAGGCTGCCAGTCTACACCACCCACCTCCACGAAGGCAGCCAGCACCGCCAGGCCGTCAGGGGCATCTTTGGCGACATCATAGCTCTCATATTTTGTATTGTAGTGAACCACGTGAATCTGCGGAAACAAGATCAGCACCTCGTCATGGGTCAGTGGGGGTAACTCAGAGAGATTTCCGAGGACAGAAGACAGCAAGGTCCAGGGCTCTGCTCGGCACCTACAGCTCCCACTTCTGGGAGCCACAGCCACCAAGACCAGAAGCCACGCCGGAGAGAGCTGCTGGGGAGATGCTGGGGAGAGTGCTGCTAGATGCCAGGGGCAGCAGGGGTCCCCCGAGAGTTCTGGGCCCCTCTGAGGTCCTTGGGGCTGGAGGCTCACCACGAGTCTGAGGACAACCTGGGCTGCGTGGCAAGACCCTGCCTCCAGAAAATGACAGGGAGTGGGCTGGGGAGGGCTCTCGCACCTCGATGACCCGTCGCATTCCGTCCACGGTGTGCTCAGAGCCGCTGACCTCACCGGAGGCACCACCCCAGTGGTAGTGCATCTGCACGGCCGCGTACTCGGTGCCGTCGGGGGCCGTCATGAGCATGGTCGAGGGCAGGCTGATCTGCACTGGAAGGGACCGCGGGCACTCAGACCTCGGCTCAGGTCAAAAATCAACAGACCACCACCACCATCCCACCCACCCCCGCCACGTCATCTCCTTCACCCCGACCAGCGCCAGCCAGGCCTGCAAAGCCCGGTTGCGGAGGAGGGACTGGGCCCCGTGCAGGGGCGAGCCCAGCCTGCAGGGGCGCTCTGTCTGGCCTGTCCTCTGCAAGGGGACCCCTGCAGGAGCGCAGTCAGACACGTGGGAAACCAGAATTTCCTCCTCCATCCCCCCACCGCCATGGCAGGGACCGGCCCAACACGCAGGACTGCGAAGTGACACCTCCAGGAGCCACACCAATCAGTTTACTCAGTTTACACCCGGGCTGAGTCCTGAGGATGATGTCAGGTTGGTGGGTAGCCACCCTGACCCATATGCCACCCCGGCTTGGCCCGAGGCTGACGCCTACCTGCCCGGCCGTGTGCTAGGACGCCCCCTGCTGGCTCTGTGTGTGCATGGGGGAGGGAACATAAGGCTGATGGGCGAGGGGAAGCCTCTCAGCTGGGCTGGACCAGCATGGAGACACCAACTGCCAACCTCACATCAGGCTCCGCTCTTCCGACGGCAAGGCTTCAGAGCCAGGTATGATAGTGAACCCCAGTAGTCCAGCACCCAGGAGACTGAGGCAGGAGGATCACTGTGAGTTCAAGGCCAGCCTGGGCCATGTAGTAAGTTCAAGGCCAGGCTGAACTGTAGAGTGAGACCTTGTCTCAGAAAACGAGCGGGCAGGTAGCCCGACACAGGCAATAAGAAAGACACTGACAGTCATGCTATGCCAGGAAAAGGGGAGGCCTCAAGCTCTGTCCCCACAACTCGATTTGCTGAACCTTCCAGATTCTGAAAATGGGGGCCGGGGAGATGGCTCAGTGGAATAAGCGCTTCCCTGGCAAGCTCAAGAGCCTGAGTTCAATCCCCAGTTCTGGGAAAAAAAAAAAAAAAAAAAAGGACCTATATAACAGATTCTAAAAATGGATTCAGCTCCCCAAAGAGGCAGCTTTCCTTCAAGAGGGAATTTCTCATCAGGCGAGAACCCACATCATCTGCACACTTGCTGTGCTCAACAGGAGGGAAGGGGAATAAAAGAATTAGGGTAAGGCCAGGGAGATAGCTCAGTAGAATAAGCACCTGCCTGGCAAGTACAAGGTCCTGAGTTCAATCCCTGGTACTGAAAAAAAGAAAAAAAAGAACTAAGGTGCATTCTGTGCCTTTGTCCATGCCCATAGAGCATGCAGTTGTTGCATACTGCAAACATGGATGGAGCAAAACAATTGTTTTTTTGTTTTTTTGTTTTTTTTCAGAACTGGGAATTGAACTCAGGTCCTCATGCTTGCCAGGGAAGCGCTTATTCTACTGAGCTATCTCCCCGGCCCCCTTTTTTTTTTGAGATAGGGTCTCACTATATAGTTCATGATGATCTTGGACTCACTACATAGCCAATCTGACTTCGAGCTCCTGAGATCCTCCTGCCTCAGCCTCCTGAGTACTGGGATGACAGGCATGTAACACCACACCCAGGTATAAAGTTTTTTTAAAAAAGGAAGTGATCAGTCAAATGTCAAAGCTATGGAAGACGAAAAGAGAATGAAGATCTGACCCAGATTAAGCGAGACCGAAGGGCCATGGGAGCCAACTGCAAGAGGGGGACCTGGTTGACACCACAGAAAGGGCATGGGAGGAAAGTGGTGTAAAGCCAGCAAGGTCTCTAACTAATCACAGGGCATCCGTGTTAATTCCCAGTGAGGGCTGTGCTGCGGTTACCAGATGCTGGTGCTAGAAGTGGGAGAGGGTGTGGGGACTCTCGGTGCCACTTTTGCAATTTTCCTAGCCCCAAACTATTTCAAAATAAAGGTTCTTTTAAAAGCCCCACCCAGGCTCCAAAGATCAAAACCTGTTCAAAGGGGCAGGGCAGTGGTGGCGAACCTGTCTGTCGCAAGCCCTCTCGGTTGGCAGGTGAGGCTGGTCAGGCCAGCAACTTAGGCTTGTGAGCGGCTGCTTTCAGCTTTGGATTGTATCACACGAGCAGAGAGATGCCCTGAGTGCCACACGGGTTGCTCTCGCACCAAGCAGGAGCCCCGCTTTGACAGACGGTCATCATGCAAAGGAGAGCAAGGGTCACAGCTGTGCAAGCGCACACCAAATGCTCACTTGGGCCCTTTGATAAAAACTGTATTGTTGAGAGCTTTGTTAATATGCTTTTCTTTGAAGACAAAAGATGCTGATGTATGAGTCATTTTTTCTAAACTAAAACCTCAGTGTTGAGGTCTAACTGCAGCGCTGGCACTTTGCAATAAATAAGTGGCTTTGGGGTTGCCATTTGGGCACCAGACTCTAGAAGTTCTCCACCCTGGGCTCAGCGTGGAGCCCTTGCCGGTGGGCACACGACGCTGCATCCTTCCCCACAATCAACTCCAAGTGGTCCTAGCTACAAATGCACAACTGGTGCTTGTTTTGGCAGCACTTACACAAAATGGAAAACTAGTGATGATCCTGGCTGGCTGTGCTGTGCGCATTGCGTTACGTGTGCGTGCGTGCGTGCGTATACGTGTGTGGTGCTGGTGTGGAATCCAGGGCTTCACACATGCCACCCAAGTGTTCTACCCCTGAGCTGCACCCCCAACCCTGCAGGGACAATTTAATGCCCTGCTGAAGGCACAATCTATGAATAAAATTATGGAGAAGCTGGATTTCATGAAAACTAAAAACTGCTCTGGGTAAAGCTCTGCTGAAGGGACAGAAGACAAGCGCTGAAGGAAATGTTCCCTGAGAACACGGCTGCTAAGAAATTGCTATCCAAAAACGTCCTAATAATGCCTACAACTCAACCTGCTGCTTTGAAAATGCACAGAAGACCGGACAGATGCCTTCGGGAAGAGAAAGGCAGATGGCAAATGCGCTCGTGGGTCAGGAGTGGGAGTTTCAAGCGAGACTCCTGCGGTGCACGTCCCAGAGCAACCAGGCCGAGAGCCCACCCCTCCACCCCGCACCCCACACACCTCCACCCCCAGACAGAGTGCAAGGGATGCACACTCGCTGGGTTACCCACCTGGGTACTGAGCCACCCACAGGGGCACCAGCACACGGATTTACCTGGTTTGTTTTTCTTTCTTTTTTAAGACCAGGATCTCGCTATGTAGTTCACTCTGGCCTTGAGCTCACTTTGTAGCCCAGGCTGGACCCAAACTCACAACGATCCTCCCATCCTCAGAGCCAGAATTACAGATGTGCGCCACCATGCCCAGCTACAGCAGCTTTTTTTTTTTTTTT